AATCCAAATAAAATCTTTCTCGATCCATATATTTTTATCAATAACCCAAGAATTTGAAAATGATATCGACGACTTCATCTTGAAACTACGTAATACGTACTGCGATCATCGAATTAATGACTAATATAATTTATAGACCCGATAATTGTTAATTAATAATCGTGGAAAGATCACACTTTTTTTCTTTTGATGTGACGACAGGCCGGCGCCACTATTCGTTTGAGTCTTGCTATACAAATAACTATAAAGTTATTGCACGTTTAAGTCCTATTACACGAACAATACAATCACCGCGCCTGTCCGAGTCTCACTACATAATAACAACAAAATCACACTGCGTATGCTCGAGAGTCTCACTACTGTTTACATTCGGTGGCCTTGTTATCATTCACGCGCCGAGCCTCGAGTGAAGCAGTTCGTCGTGTTATTCTTTAAAATACGATCGCGAAAAGTATTAACAGATGTCGAACGCGATAATTTGCTATGATGATTAAGATTAGTGATTAACAATCTGGATGATTAATCAACTATGCGTCATTATCTCAATTAATCATTAACTCGACTATAATATTACGCAGTTCAAGGCAAAATTGCTAATGTTATCTTTGTAATTTTTCATCATTAACAAAACATCGCGAATACAAAACGAAGTTTTAATCGAACAACGTCGCGATATGTTTAATCAATAAATATAATCGTTGTTAATTGTATATGCATGTTTTATATGTTCAATCGTATATCAAAATTAAGCATTTCATTAACATATTTCTACATTTTCTTGCATTTGGATATTGCATATTTATCATTAATTTTAACTAATATATTTATTAGCAATTGCATGATAATATAAAATAGTAAACGTCTTAAAACGAGAATATATTAGCAGCGAAAATAGAATTGCTGCGATAAATAATGCGTGAATTTGACCACGCAATTTTCAAGTGTCAATCTGATAATGCTTTGTGCGATCTTTCTTGATTTTAATTATTCATAATTCATATTACTCTTTCGTCGTAATACAAATAATAAAATGTGCGTTACGTATGCTTAATATCGAGAGTGCTATGCGTCGTATTATAATCCATGTGCACACGTGAGTGTAATAATTAATATGTGTTTTCGCGAGTGAATACTATGAAGTAGCAGCAAAAGATCAACAAGAGAAGAGGAAATCCGGAGGAAGGCAAGTAATCGTGAAATAAAGAAATTATAATTTTATTTTTTGTTACTTTAGAAATAAACTTGCTTACTTACATCTCCGATAATAATCCATTTTATATCATGTAATGTAATAATATATTCTAGAGTTTATATTTCTAGAGTTTATATTTCTAGAGTTTATATTTCAAAATATTTAATAAAATATTTATAAAGTTACATATAATATTGTGCAAAATTTAAAATTATTTATATAAGAATTATAAATTTAATTTTTTATTCACCTCTTTTATTTTGCGTATAAATTAATATCTTAAAAATATTCGGAAATTATAAATTTTTTTAATTAAAATTTAATTTAATAAGGAACAAATAAAACATTAAATTTTGCTCAATATATATTTTTTTATATATAATTTTTAAATATATATTTTTTATATATAATTTTTTAAGATATTAATTATATTAAATATTGCTTTATACAATTTAGGTATATTTATATTTTACAGATATATTTTCCAGAATATGGCATACCACAACTTTGCTTGCGCATCATATCTCGGTGAGTGAATTAAATTATTTTCTATCTTAATTCCTTTGTGAGGAAGGATAGTGAAGATTTTTAAATATTATACTCATTTTAAGTAAACATTTTGTAAGAAGTTGATAATAGATAAATTGAAAATTGAAAAAAGAGCAATAATGTATTGACATTGATATCAATAATAACGAGAATAATCAAGAATATAGATATCTCTATATATTTAATTTAAATAAAACGTAACAATATTTCTATAAAACGAAACATTAATTGATACTACAACATTTTTTTTTCAATTAATGTAAAAAATTCGATTAATCCAGAAAGTCCAAAGTAACAGAAGAAAATTAAAAGTTAATTTGAACTTTATAAAACATTGGAGGTGCATATTAATGGTACTGCTTTCACAAAATTATCTCACCTTTACCTCTTCTCAGCGAGACATGTATGCGGTAGGACGAGTGCCATAAATCACTCGTTGTTCTGCAACTCGCTACGATATAAAAGAGAAACAATGACTGGTTCTGACAAAGTCACATATGTACATAGATACGTACCAAATACTGCACAGCTGTACCTGCATATAATGATGAAGTTGTGCTACTTTCAAGCGACATTTAAATTTACCTTTACCTTTAGGGAAAAATGTTTCTCATACGTGTAATAAAAATAACACTTATACAAAGATAGAAAAAACAATTGATTATACATAAAAACACATTCTTTTTAAGAAATAAAAATCAAGATGTATTTCAGAACAAGATTAAATATACTCTCTCATTAAATTAAATTAGTATATTAAAATCAAATTATTATATTAAATTAAATTATTATATTAAACTAATTTTCAAATTTTTGAATAATAAGATATGATAATAAATCGAGATAATAAAAATTTATGTTATTAACATATTTATCGCCTGCAACAAGAAATTATGGCGTGGACATTAGTGGGTCACAAAGAGAAAAATATTTTTCCGGAAAGCATTCCAAACACATATTCACTCGGACGTGTGATTTATGTATTACATAGCGGATAGCTATAATAAGCTGCAACGTTATTTCGCGCGTAGGTGCTCGGGAGATCAAGATCAGCGTTTCATAACGACGTACCGCAATTTCTTATGCTTACCGCTATTTCTTGGGCTCGCGACGATATAAGTAAATAATGTATCAAAATGCGCAGGTATAAACCTCGCACACACACACACACATATATGTACCTGTGCCACAAACAAGTACCGCAAACCGTAGTGAACACCCACGTGTAACAGGGCATCTTGTAATCTACTGGACAATCGGCGTAGGCAGGATACTAGTAGCCTGCTGTGTCGCGATTACAGGTGTAGAAATGGTCAGGTGAAATTTCATAGTTGACATTCCGGGTAAATCTGATAACGTAACGTTTTAGTAAACCGCGTCTAAACGCTTCTCACTTAAACCGTCGTCGCGCGAATGCCTCGAATTGCAAAATACGCGAATTATACGGAGGACGCGTTGCGCCTCGAAAACTCGTTTGCAGAAACGCGTTTCGCGAAATCTATTTGCCCGAGCGGGAGAGCAAGCAGAGATAATTGCGGACCGCGGTGCACGTTGCATTATCAATAATTGCGAAACTTCATTACGAAGGTAATTAAAAGCCCAGCCAGCAGGGTAAAGGCGGTGCTGGAGCTTTCTGGATTTCAAATTTAGATAACAATGTGCCCAATAGCGAAACCGTATTTGCAGACACTTATCAACGTCGAGCACGCATTAGATGCGCGCCGATTTTTTTTCTCCGTGACTTACAAACTCCGAGTCTATATTTCAAAGGGTGTTAAAGTCGCGTCTACCGATTCCGATCATTACATCCGTTATAAGCTGTCACATAGCTCATCTAGCATAGCGTTTTCGTTCTCACCGATACGCGAGGAGGATTTTTTTTATTTTGCAATAGCCATCTATGGCAAAATTAACTCAGCTTTCAATCGGTTCGAGGTATCTAGATGAATGAACGCAACGTTTACTTCTTTGTTTTTAATTGCATATACCGGGTGTATCTTAAAAAGCTCCCACTAAGCAAATAGCGTTATTCCTGATTAAAAACCGAGTCGAAAAGTCCTGAACCATTTTTTTCCGTAATGTTTAATAAAGCAGTACTTAATGAGTAAAGTCGCGTCAATAAAAAGACAAACTTCCTCGTTCAACATATGAAGATTTGGATAAGCAAAAAAATAAACTGTTTTGTGTTAATTTTTAAACAATTCATCTTTTCAGAAATCTTTTTAATATTTAAATCTGATTAATTATTTAATAAATCTTGGAAAAAAAATGGTTCAGGACTTTTCGACTCGGTTTTTAATCAGGAATAATGCTATTTGCCTAGTGGGAGCTTTTCATATCTGATATTTTTGTTAGCATTAAAGTAAATTGTTTTGTGAACCGATCGATAATTAATCGAGAGACTAATTCGCTGTCGTTGGCGAGAATAAAGATTCGAATCGAAAGGTTAAAGCGAAGATGTTCTTTCGCATATCGTTGCGTCAACGACGAGATAAGACTTTCACTGGAGAATCAGATGTGCAGAGGAGAGAAAAAACGAAACACGTGGTAGCTTTTGTTCGCGAAAGCTACTCGATTACACTCTGAACAATTTGACCGATTCGAATAAAATTCGGCAGTAATTTAAAGACAGTCCTCTTTTAAAGAAGTGGAGAGAGAGAGGAAGAGAGATCCGATATTCGGCACGTTTGAAAGACTCGCAGAACGAATTAATGCAATTAAGCTTAATGACAGCACAATTAATTAAGGAACGTATTTTCTCTTCAGAGAGAAAGAATCTCATTTTTCTCTTTTTCTCTCTCTCTCTCTCTCGAGATTCAATTTCACTACTCTCAATTGACTTCCAGTTTTTTTCTCGATGCAATATTTTCCTTTTCACATACTTTTTAATCGTGCGATATCCGAAATTGGAACTATATGTGTTATGACCATTTATAAAATCAATTTTTTATTAATCAAGCATAATCTTAAGTATACATTACAATAGGTTTAATATCAATCAAGTCAGTTTAACAATATAAAATCATTATATCCGAGTTTAAATCTTATTTCATGCAAACCTTTAATAATCATTTCCCCCAAAAATCTCAATTTATAACTGAACAAGAATCGACATTAAAAGTTATCTACGAAGATTGTTTTAATAACAGTAATTTTAAGTTATTTATTAATAGTAATTAATTAGAAAAAATTGTCGGACATTATAATTTTATCAACATCAAAATGTATGTATAATTTTATGGTGCTATTAATAACTCACCGGTAAGAGAAGTAAGGACGAGGGCGAGTGTCTCGCGGCCGCCTGTCTAAGGCTGAGAAAGTGCAACAGAGGGTCCTCGGTCGCTCTCAGCTCATCCAATGTTCTTCTAGCCTCGCTGTATCTCTCCAAGTATTCCCAGTAAGAATTCCAAAACGAGCCGGGAAATAAGTCACCTGTTGATAGGTATACATCGTCGTAATTAAAATTTGTCCGTGTCGCGTAAAAAGCACGGAATTCCGTTATTAAATTACACGAGATTATATTTCCCCGGTCATAAAATAATTGCGCTTGTCGTATTATATCATGAAAGGTTTTATGCTCCCCTCGGTTAATTAATGGCAACGTTCCACACACGCGCGAACACTCGATGTGGTAAACGTACGTATTAGAAAATAAAATAGGATACTGAATATCACGTATAATGCGATAAAAGTGACATTAAGGGGAGAAATTAATGGAATTGGAATTATTAACGCGCGCTTCTCTATTTCGCTTCGCTCTTCGTCGCCCAAGATACATTTGTTTTTCCTCGCACCGGATGATTTATCTTTAACATTTTTACCCGCGTCACGAAATACGGGCTGCATCTCGCGGATTCAACACGGACTGCATCTTTATGCGAATTTACGGTAGTCCGTGCCTCCTCCTGTCCCCTATGTTCACGCTAGGAATTGACATGGTGCAATTATATTCTCAGAGCGGCTGCGTGTAAAAAGCATGTGAGAATCACGAACGAAAAAATAAAATTGTGCATGGTATCGTGTTTCGAGGTAACGTGAACGCTCGAATAACGCGAATAAATTCTCCATAATGTATATACGTCCGAGTCGCGATGCCGATTTACGATCGACATCATCGCAGTTCCAAACGATAAAAGACCGGCGATCTTATTAATGTAAATTCGAAATGGCTAGTGATAGTCATTTCACGGTAATAGCGGCATCGCGAGATGAAAAGTACAACGGCAAGCGTCAGGCATCGAGAGAACGAGTTCGATTCGCAAATGCATAAAGCATGGCAAATCTCGATCGGGAGAACTGCTTAATTAGCGTCTTTTTAAGCGCGGCGTAATCGCCCCTGTCGATCGCTCACATCGTTTATCACGCACGTTTTATCGGAAAACGCAAAAAAATAAAGGAGAGAAAAGGCGCGCGAAGAGACGAGATGTGCGCGAGATTATCGGAGGAGAGGAAAGGCACGGTCGCCTTGATAAGAGTTCCACTTTACCAGTTTCCCCTAAGATATGCAGAGAGCCGAAGACCGCTTACTTCAACTACTCTGTCGTGAGGCATAATAAACTCGTTAAGGTCGCTTGACATCATAATCGATAATCGTGCACATAGCTAAGAAGTTTCCGCGCATATATTATACTATACATATACATGCATACATACATACATACATAACATATATATATATATATATATATATATATATATATAAACATATACTCCTACATCCCTCTCTGTGAAGTTACACTCCTCCAAAAATGAGGATAAAAATTAGGTTTTTATTTTTTTCTTAAATTTGGAACAAGTTAGAGAAATGAAATTAAGTGGATATTTTCTACTAGTAAAAAAGTTATTTATTAATATTTTTTTCAGCCTCCCGTATTGTTATAAGGCGATGAAATTAGCAATCCCTATTTTTTATTAAAACTTTTTAATGTTTATATGAAAAACTCCCCTTAATTTTTGACGAAAAATCATCTCTAAAATTGTTCGCACTTATTAAGAAACATCTTATAAGAAACTCCTGTACTCACTCGACTTGAAGGTACTGCTGTCCCAATTCTCAAGTATACCACGGATCTGAAAAAAAAAACGAAAGAATATGATAGAATTAGCTTTTAAAATACAATGACTAACGATATGAGGAAAGAAAAAAATTAAGCACGGGAATCATGTTTAATGTACAAGAAAAATGATTAGAGTTCAAGTTAAATAATTGCCGCTTCCCGATTTATTTTCAATCTATCACTTTACTTCCATAGTCTTTTCACGTGTTTATATATTTTGCATTATTGTAAAAATTATTTTTGCATGTTTGCATCGGCATTTAATAACTGCCGCATATTCATCGTAATGATTGTAAGAACACTCGAGACATTAAATTTATCATAATTTCCTTGATTAATTATATGCAAAAATAACTGATTAAATATTAATGAGGTCTGCTATAATTAATTTCAATTCCATTTAATATATGGTTTGAGAACATAAAAAAGGCAAAGATTATATGAGATAATTTTAATGTCACACTTAATAAAATACACTTAACAAAGTAAGTTTTTATCACGCCTTTCTTTTTATATTTTACATCAAAAATAATTTTTTCCTATCTATCCCATTCCATTAGTAAGTCTGATAATCGTCCCAACAATTAAAAAATAGATATCCCTCTGATGTCGCGCTCTTCAAGCTCATTCTGATCATGAGAAATGTTTGTAGCTCAGTGATAAGGTTAAAGAACTTTAAACGAGGTCGAGACATGTCCTCGAGAGAAGCGCATATTTATCCATTGACTTATGACGTAGCATTACACTCAGTCAGACACCGGAGGAGACTCAATATGAATGAGCTCGATAATTCTTAAGTTCTTCTCTCTCTACAAAAGCGTCGATAACATTAACAGTAGCAAAGCCAGCAATGTAAATTTCACGCATTCGCATAAATCGTTCTTGAATGATAACCATGTTACATACATAGATATAGTTGTAGACAAAGGGGGACTCCTTCGCGAGGCGACCTTTCGATGCCGCGGATGCGTGACTTTGCGCTAGCACGATGATAATGAAATGGAAATAAACCGGTCCGCGCGCGGAAAGAATAGCGCGATACATCTGGCACGTAGTAATTAATTTCGCCGTAATAAACATGCCGCGCTTCATGAAATTGTATTACACGGTTTTGGAGCAAGAAGCGCCGCTCCGAGAATGAGTTCGTAGTTTTGTCCAAGGCGTACGTTAGGTACGCAAAGGAGAGTGATGGACGGGATGCAACGCTCTCAAGGTTCTTTGATGGCAAGGTCTTCCAGGCCACGCAGGCGGATGGAAATTATCGACAAGAGTCAATCAGCTTGCCTTCGAGCTACGAATACATATCTATCGGAGATACCGTGTAATCACAATAAAACTGCCGCTGCTGCTGCGCACCGAGTACGAGAGAGCTCAATTCCTAACAACCAATTTGTTCCGGTTTAATTGCTACGTCTTACGTGTGCTATCGCAGAAAAGCAGAGCTCTCCTGGCTTTAACGTAGCGGTCAGGTAACAATTATCGCGATAAATTGTACGCAGATCTCCCGAGTGCACTTCAAATTTCAAAGGAACAAAGTTGCACCACGTTTTCTTCGCACAATGTAGAATGAGAATAAAAGTAGAGAAAAATGAAAGAGAAAGGCACATGTGTCTCATCGCTGAAAATAATCCAGAAGATACACAGTAAAAAATAAAATGTTAATTATAACATTTTTCACATGTCCCAGAAAGTCCATTCTAAATTTTAAGTTAAAATAACTTATTCATATGTTACTTATCGACAAACTAAAAATATGAAATAATTGACACAATACTTTACATTTTTTTTGTTATTGTGACTTTAAGTATAATGTAAAAATAACATGCAAATCAATTAAAAATTATATGAAAAAATAGTTACAATAATTCGTAAGAAATGTTGAGGACATTAACATATAATAGTAATTATTTTAACTTAAACTATTTGTAATAACATTTGATTTTAGTAAATTTGATCATTTTTTATGTCAAAGTTCAAGATTATTTAAAGATTCACTTTAACTTTTCTTAGAATATTAGACTGACTTTGAGACATGTTGGTTGTTTAAAATGATTATATGATATTAAAAATACTCAAAATAATATTGCATTTTTAAGAGACATATACAAAGTGTTAAGTTATGAAATTGACATAAATGTAACACATGAAAACGTTATAAAAATAATAACATATAAGTTGTACGTTAATTTTACATTAAAGTACTAATCAAAAGGTTTGAATCTCTTTATCCTTCATACAACGAGCGATAAAACATATCAAAAGGTTTGAATCTCTTTATCCTTCATACAACGAGCGATAAAGCACATCAAAAGGTTTGAATCTCTTTATCCTTCATACAACAAGCGATAAAACACATCAAAAGGTTTGATTCTCTTTATCCTTCATACAATGAGCGATAAAACACATTGGAAAGTAATTTAGGAGAGAAAATTTGAACTTTTTTTTGTTTCAGAAGAGATTTGTTTTCCCGTATAATTTTAAAACAGTAAAAAATTCTTCAGTAATTTTTAATCTAGTTCTTTATCTAGTTAATAATTGATAATTTCATGATCATACATATATCAATCATTATCTGTCTAAACAATTTTTATACATCTTTATGTAAATATATACGTTTTTTCCTCCATCTGAATAATAGTTTTATACTACTTCATTATATATTAATTTAAAAAAACCTTATAATTGCCTGAAATATAAAAGAAAATAGTAATTATATATTTACATTATCTGAGCGATGCTCTTGTAGGAAATCTTTAACATGGAGCCTAATTAAAATGCTTATCATAGCGAAGTTTTCTGCAGCAAGAGACGTCGCATTCTATGCAACGAATTCTTATCATGCCATCTCGAATGTGAGTATCACGCGAATATTATGTATCGATAAGTCATTCAACTTGATCCAAGGAAAAAAGAGATGATACCCGGCGTGAAAAAGTCGATGCATGTGTAGGAGCAATGATACGTACGTTATATCGTCACGTCGTCATGATACGATGCGTCGGCGTGTTGGTGCGTTTCTTATTGTCAGATACGTATCTATGTTAAGCGCACACGCACTATGTGCCCCCATGCATTTATGCATCGCATTATACGTGCCGACGAGAAGGATGGGTACAGGGTGACCTATTCGTTTTTGAGGCTGTCAAGAGTAAAGGAAGTATCAGTCCCCGGCAGCCATGAATTATGTATGCGTGCACGTTCGGAAATCATCGTGCGCCGCATCTTTCGCTCTCGTCGTAATCACAAAAATACATAAGATAGAAAAATAATTAGATAGGGTTGTTATATGCGCAATTTCAATTGTTCGAAATTACATTAAATACAAAATATAAACGAGAAACACCATCGGAGCATAAAATATTAATTAGACGTAAATTGAATTAATCGATAATTAAATATACACACACACACACACATATATGTACGTACGTATGTAATTTACACGCACAGTATTAATTAAATGATATTAATATATAATTAATTAGAGACAGAAATATATTTGATTATATATATAGAGTGTTTCTTAATAAGTGAAAAATTTTAGGAGATGATTTTTTGTCGAAAATTAAGAGGAATTTTTCATATAAACATATACTCTCTGTATACATAAATTAAACTATTGATGAAAAACTTGCTCAGTAAGCATGTGCAATTTCGCTTGCGATTAATTTGACCGGGAGATACGTGTAAAATTATAATAATCCACAACTTGCAACAATGTCCAACAGATATGAAAGTTGATTTTTCTGTAGCCGACATCTCGCAAAATATAAACGACAAATTAAACAATACGTGTATGTGTGTATATGATGCGACTTGACTTTGTCAAAAAAATCAAAGTACTTCGCTTTAAAATAAGAAGAAATAATATATGGGACACCTTGTACGATGAGCAAAGACGATATAGTCGCACGTCTCGCGAGCTCTCACCTATCCCTTGATGGACGTTCGATTATCGATAATCTCGGGCGGCATGGATATTACAACGGACATCGCGGCCAATTTTTCGCTCGTGCTGCCTCACTCCGGTCGCACGAATACGCAGATGCATTCCTCGGAGGCGGTTTTAATTATACATCGCACGCGCATACTCGTCTCTTCGGTCCTGCCACCCTTCTAGGACAACGATGGCGACGACGACGAACGCGAAGGGCGTGCCCAAAAAAAGCAGGTCGAACACTCTGCGCGTTATTAGATGTCTACTCTATGCGCGTAGGCGTTTATCTCATTATTATTTTATAATCGCCGGGATGGTCCCTGGATTCGTTTTTTTTTCTATTCCTTCTCTTCTTTTTTCGCGAGATTGACGTTCGATAAATGAGATCGAACGACGCACCTGCAGTACATCGATTTATTAGTTATCGATACGCGATTAAATGTCTCTTCGTGTTTCTTTATGTTAATCGTGTTTTTCACTCCGATATTACCAGAGTAAATTAATCAATTATCACATATATCGTTATGAAAAGCTAAACAACTATTTTTCGAATGTTTTTCTACGATATGATGACAAAGAATAATTAATTAATTAATTAAATTTTCAATCATTTTTATCAAATTTTCGATCATTTTTACCGTCTCTAATTAAATAGACTAAACTAAATTGCTGGTCGTCTTCTTCCTCCTACACACATACACATAACATGCATTAATATTCAAGTTTCCAATTAATGTAGTCATTGATCATGCGACATAACATCAATTTAATTAATTTCATTTAATTAATTTCATTTAATTAATTTAATTAATTTCACGGCATAAAGTTTATCAAGGCATTTGATATACATATAAATATAATTAAGAATTTATTAAGATAATTTATTAAGAACAAAAAAATATCAGAACTTAATGATAATTTTTCCACGACTGTCGTATGCAAAAATATATAGCACTTGTTAATGATTCTATAACTTTTATTATTAGAAAATCATTGCGATGACTCTGTATTATTTATTCCTGTCGTGAAAGACAAACGCACTCGAGACCGCATTTCTCATCGCACGTGGCCGTCAA